AAAAAAAAACCTGATTTTGAATTTTCAGACTATAAACATGATTTTTGAATTTGTGTAAACTAAACACCTTATTTATGAATTTTTCCCTTGATGAAAAATTGTGGCCCGTTTAACTTCATAGGCTATAAGCCTGGGATTGAAGAATAATTAAAATCAACACCACAAACGATATAGCCCAAAATTTGTTGGGTATTTAGAGGAAATCAGCCCATTGGGTTAGGTGCTCAATACCCCGTTGTAGAGATATTTGAATTGAGAATTCTATCCCTTATCTTCACATGGAAGTTAGATGGTTATGATATTCTTATCCTTGAATAACCATTTCAGTTTTTTGTGAACCCTATCTTGAAGAGGAAAATCTAGAAATTCGTTTTCCACCTTGCCTATAAATTGGAGTCTCATGTTCTCATATTTTCACACCAAAAAAAGTGAAGAAACCGGCTTCTTCTATCAGTCTCTTCACTATGCAATTTCTCTCTTCTTCTTCTTGCCTTTGTGTGCAATTCCCAGTGCTTCCAAGTTCTCCAAATTTGGTGTTGCCTTTGTAGTGTTGAATTGATGATTTTCCGAGCCTAAAGAAACGGGGAAAACATTAATTTCATTTTAACTTCTTCTTCAATTCTTTGATTTCCTTTTATTATTTTTCTTGATTCTTACTAATTACTTTGATTTGTTCAATTGTAGGTGGAATTAAGTTCAACAGTAATTTTGAAAATGAACGGTACATATCATAATCATGAAGACAGAAAAAAATCAATATTAGACAACATAGATTGGAAAATTTAGAGAGAGAAAATGGATTTTACTGTACCTGCACAAAACACGCGCACATCCCCTACCTCCCGCACAAAAATGGAGGACGTTATGGAAGCTGAAAGTATCTTTCTCTAGCCTTGCAATATAGTGATGTGAAGTCATAAATTTTGGGTGCAGCATTTTCAAATATATGGGGCCATAATTTTTCCATCATCTGAATTTTGACTCGAAAAATAACTGGAAATTCGATTTCTCTCATACACTTTCCCCCCTTCAGTTTTATGTTGAAAAAGAAACTATCATTAAGCGAAGTGGATTCGCATTTTGATATCTTTAGGATCCCAAGTCATTCTTTTCCAAGAGTTTCAACAAACTGGCTAAATACAGGTTATCACAGTCTTGGGGCAAACCCATGTTTAGGGCCCATTTTGCAAGGCTTCTACTTTTTGTATAAGAGCTGGTCACTTTTGACCAACTTCCTTTAAAAGATCATCCAACCACATTATCCGAGTAAACCCAAAAACAGCAGCTTAGTCTTAGGGCCAGTTTGGCATGACTTTTGAGAAGTCAAAAGAAACTTTTGAGACTCAAAAGCTGCTTTTGTACCCATTAGACTATTTTTCTAAAAGTACTTCTTATAATTAGAAAAGTTTTTAAAGGAAGATTGTCCAATATGACCTCCTCTAAAATAACTTTCGAAACAAAAAGTTCTTTAAAAATTAGTTTCTAAACAAAAATTTAAATAGCTTTCTCATGAAACTCTTCTACAAACAGGAAAAACTTTGCCAAACGGGCCCTTAGAAGTAACTTTTAACTTTTCAAAAGCTCTGTCAAACTGACACTTACCATCTCATATTCATATTTAAGGCTACAATGTGTGTCTCTGAGTGGAAAAGAAAGGGTGTGTGCGCGTTTAAAAATCAAGGGAATAATGTTGCAACAGAGACATTATATAACAAAACGAGAGACGAATCTGATTGCATGCAGTTACCAATTGCATAATAGTACCATAAATTCAATGCATTGACCATATCATGATCGATCTGAAATTATCTTCTAGGATTCAAGTAACAAGAATTTGTTGGAATAACATCTTATATGGAAGATGAAAATACATCAAACACTCAGTGTAGCCACAAACCACCTTAACACAACGCAGAAGGACGTTTTTATGTGAACAGTTTGTCAAAACAATCATATACTCCAACATTGCAAATATGGAAATCAGTCTGCAATAAATGACTTTTGCATGTAGATCTGAATACCGAATGTAGATCAAATAATAATTACTGCAGCATCTACAAGTTACAAAGTAATTCAATTCATGTTGATAAACAAAACATAATTATAGAAGCAAACATTTAAAATTTTCTTGAACAAACTGTAGTTAGTTCTTACCTCATATGCTGCAAGTGAGCTCCACATCTCTGTTAATAAGTATTTCAAGTGAATAGCACAGCCATTTGCTGCTTCTGTACAGAACCCAAATTCTGACAATTTCGTAGCCTTAAGATGCCACGTCTTCTTTTCCCTTTTATGTTATTGGCCAGGTGTACATTCTTTGGTGGTTAATTTTCCAGCATTTTATAGGGATTTTTTAGACCTTTCTTTTTTGCCATGAAAATTACTGACACTTACAATGTTATGGAAACGAAAGGCGAAAAAAATGACTATTTTACATTAGAAAGTAAAATTGCCTTCCGTTTGGAACCAACACTTCAAGATATCTGATAATAACAGCTTAAGAAGTTCCAGATTATTTACTTTCGCTATGAGTAAATGCTATGAAATCACAGCTACAGATGGTCTACAGGACCAACTGCAAGGGTAAAAAACACCGTCAATTGCTTTCGTTTATAACTTGACTATTTACATATAAGCCCTCTCTTCTTTTTGGAACACTTGTAGTTTCGATACTCGATCCTCTAAATTTCAACTCGGAGGTTGTTCTGAATCGAGGATCAATTGAAGAAGGTCTAGAATCTACTTCTGGGCTCGGCCTATAGGGACCAGCTGATCCCCCAGAGTACCTTGGTGGAGAGAACCTTCTTGATGAAGATCTTAGACTAGTGCCTCTCAGATCCATATTCTCAACGTTTCTGGAAGAATCCGTGAAAGACCTCTCCCCCGTGCCAGATGCCAATGGAGCTCCATTAATGACAGATGTGGAACTAAATGGATCATCGGGGCCCCACGAGGTAAGTGCCTCCTTTTTATTGGCAAAAAACTGCCACGCTCCAAAGAGAAAAAGAATGAAAAACAAAACAGGACTCGTCCATAGGATGTTATTGAATTCACTTTTGATCGATGGAAGGTTGGAACGATAGATTGCCACGTATCCATTCCCAAGACTGAGAATAACAAACTTTTCATAGTCACTGGTGAGTAAAGGTATTGCCATCCTCTTTTCATCATTTACATCAACCACTTTCTGATTTAGAAAAGATGATACGATCTCGTCAAGGCCAACAGAGAAAGAAAGTCGTAATCCACCAGTCCAAACATAATGCTGAGATGACACATTGTACACAAAAATTTTCTCCTGGTTAGCAATCAGCAAATAACCTTTCATTGCATGTAAGGCTAGAGGCTCAACCAAATCCATCTTCCTCTTCGATCTAATTCTGCATTTGAAGTTCACCATATCGCCCATCAATAAAGTGTGAATCAACTCACCTTCCTGAGTGAACCCATATGCCTTCGACCGGTCTATGGCATCAAAAACATAATTCTTAGCAATAGAATTATTCAATCCTTCGCACTGGGATTCCTTTAGTTTCATGGTCCTCAAATCCAAAGACCCTGCTCCTGTCTCTGTAAGAAACAAAAGCCTTTGCTTCAAGAATGCAAGTGGCTGCCTACTTGGAACGGTCGACCCATAAACCGTACCATCTTCCCGGAACACTGTAATTTTCCCACTACCATCTATAGCCAAAATGTATCTTTTCCTCCCAACATGGTGCACTTCCAACACATTAATCCTCGGTCGACCTCCTTCTGAGATCTCGAATCTTCCAACCATCTCCACGTGAAGAGAACTAAACTCATCACTGTTCGACACCTCCCAAACCCTATGCATAAAAACTAATCCGTTCCCATACCCTGAAATGATTATGCTCTCATTCTTATAAACCGACAAGTAGGACATCATAGCTGTTACTGACGATGATTCCAACTGCAACTCGGAAAAAGCATCAAACTCCACGGTAACATCTCCATTTCTCAGAAACACATATACCTTACCCTTGTCGTCCCCCACTGCAACATACTTGCTCAAACCCTCAAAATCCCTAAAAGGCAATACATTAATACAACTAGGACTAGACCCCAGTTTTACGGCTGACACAAACTGAAACCTCTCCGACCAAAATGAACTATACTTCGTCACTGACACCGTCCACAGCCCCTCTCCTGACAGCACCTTCTCTTTCCCGTTCAACCCTTCTTTAGTTTTCTCAACTTCCCTTTTCTCATCACCAGTTGACACCAGAGGGAACTTCTCAAAATTTTCCGGGATCTCAGAAAATCTGGACTCTAATCGCGAAACAAGTTGAGTTAAATTTTTTACTAACTCTTCAAGTTTTTCCAATTGTTGTTGCTGTTTTCTCACCAAATTAACATCTGGGTTGGTTTCATAGTCAAATTCACTCAAAGGGACATGATCTTTATTATCATTTTCAATTAAATTTGAAGATGGTTCCAAATCTGATGCAAGAACAAGGCAAGAAATACGCGGAAGATGTAATAACATAAAAATAAGGAAACAAAACATTAATATAATTATTGACTTGCCTTTTTCGCGAGGAATGGACATTGAATTTGAATTTGGTTTTATGTAAAGTGAAGTTCTTGGATTACACCGACTGATGTGATGACTGTTACTCGGAGCTAAGGTTTTTGCAGGTAGGATCTGAAGAATTTGGTGTAAGAATAGGGGGGATTTTGTTGTTTATGGAGAATTTGAGGGATTAAAGTGAGGAAAAAGAAGAAATTTGGGCTGAAATTTGATCTTTAATGTGAAAAACATCCTTACGTTTTAAGTTTTTACATTTTCACCTCTATTTTCACTTTTCATTGTAGAGAATGTCCTTTTCATCAATTTTTATCCAATTTCTCAATTAAAAATGTAAAATGACAAATATACCCTCTTATTTAAATAAGAGAAAAAAAGAAAAATAAAGAAATAATTGTAATCATACTCCCAAACCTTTTTAAAAAGTATACATGAATCCCAAATAAATTAATAATTTTTTTTTAAAAAAATGGCTCTCTCTCCCTTTCTTCTTCCCCACAAATCCACCAAAGATCCTAAAATCCACAGCCCTCCCTTCCTTCAATAAACTCCACAAAAAATCACCAAAGATTCCAAAACTTATTAGCTCAATTCCACTTCAAAATCATCTAAATCTTTTGAAAGCGTGTGATTAGAACTCGATCCTGAGAGTGAACAGTAGCGTTAGGACTTGTATTTTTAAATATGATTCCATGGAATTGGTCACCATGGTTAGGCAACCCGATCGATGGTGGTTTGCGACCATGAAAGTCACCAGAGGTTCAGGTTTTCGTTGCGAAATCGTGTGCAACCATGGTATGTTTTTGATTGATTTTGGCGTCAATAATTGTTGCTTGGACTGGAGATTGGTTGAAGATTGTAGGTGGCATGAAACCATTGACCAGAGGGTTGATTTTCAGTGGCAAAGGTGGCAGCAAGGTGGTCGTTGGAGACTCGATGACTCTATAGAAGGCAAAAATCGCCCTTAGGCTAGAGAGAATTGGTGAAAGAATGGAATGTTTTTTTTGGTTTGGGAAGGAAAATAAAGTTTTAAAGTTTGAGAATGTTGATGACACATATAAAAAAATTGGTTATGATTTGCAAAAAAAGTTAATTTTTCTTCCTTTTTTATTGTCTTATTTAAATATGAGTGTATATTTGTCATTTTATATTTTTTAATTTAAAAATTGGATAAAATTTGATGAAAATGACATTATCCACAATGAAACGTGTTCGTGAAAATGCAAAAAATTGAAACGTGTGAATATTTTGCATATTAAAGGTCAAATGTAGGGACGTTTTGTGCCAATAAACCTTTTTTTTTTTTTACGAAAGAGCTAATTTTATGATAGTCTAAGGGGTCCAACCTAAGACCTTAATACCATGGTTGGATGAGATTTTAATTTTTAAACATATTTTAATAAGTTGCATTTTTTCTAAGTAAATTCTATCTAGATTCTCCAGCTTTTTCTAAGAGTGACATCCATGTTCCCAAATTTTAAAGATATGGCACCCATGACCTGAGCAATAGGACAATGTTTATTTGAATATTTAAAAGGAAGATTACACATTTAAGAGAATAAGTTTAGCCTATTTCAAAAATAAGAAAATAAGTTTAAAATTTTCAAAATCAGATTTTTATTAAAAAAATTTTAATTTTTATTTATGAAATAATAAATTATTAAATTAATTTATTATTAAATATTTAATTCTAATATAATATAATTAACTTATCCCATCTTCACCACCCATACCGCTCCGGCGATCGTTCCGATCATTGCTCTACTCCGACGAACTTTTCGACGACCGTTTTTTAGACGAACTTTCTGGTGACTGGTCGGCGAACTTTTCAGGTGAAATTCTAACGAACTTTTCACGACTTTTCCGGTGATTTTTTCGATTCGGACAATTATTCATATTATTAATTATTTATTTATTTATTTTATTAATTAAATATAATGATGTTACAATTATATAATTAATTGTCACATATACATAATTAGTTGGTCACAAATTATTTTTGAGGTCACAAATCAAAAAAAAATTATAGGTCGCGATTTTTTTATTGGTCACAGATCAAAAATTTTGTGGGTCACGAATTATTTCGAGATCACAAATCAGGTCACATATTATTTTATTGGTCACGGATCAAAAAATTACAGGTCATAGTTATCTATCAATCATATATTTTCAAATTTATTGGTCACAGATTAATTTTTAGTCACAATTTTAAGGTTACAATTATATATATATATTTTTTTATCACCCCCGTTACCACCACCAATTTCTGTGACTACCCCCGTCACATATTATTTTTTAGTCACAATTTTAAGGTCATCACCACCAAATTCTGTGACCACTCCTGTGACCACCACTGACTTTTGTGACCACCCCGTAACCACCATCGAGAACTGTGACCACCACTTCATGAGTCATCACTGCCACCAACCACGTCGTCGTCGCTGCCACCACCACAACAATACACCAACTCAGATTCGGCCACACCCACCACACACAAAACAATACACCAACTTACCAAGACCTCCAGCAATCATTACTACCACAAAACCACCCTGTCGCCACCACTACCACCTCAACCATCATCATCACCGTCCACCAACCACCAAACATAGATCAGAAAATCGCCACCTGCACCACACAGATCCGCCCCGACAAAACACCACCATAATCAGTTAACCACAGTCAACAAAACCACCACCACCACACAACCGCCAACTACACCACCGTGCAACAACGTTTCGAGACGCACACGACGATTTTGAACACACACAACAAAACAACCAGATTGTCTACACCACCATCTCACCATCACCATCACCACTACAAAACACTGAGCACAACCACAACCATCCCGGTCTCAACAAAAGCCCCAAAGAGAGCATGAATTCCTATAGAATCAGTCACAAATCGAACCCGCACAAGAAGACCCACAATGAAACGAGTCGTGCCTAATAGGGCAATAGCTAGAACAAGTAGAATCCAAGCAGCCACATCATTGACTGCTGCAGCAGACATGGCTATTTGACCAACATTGGAAGCGACCTATAAGGCGGTGATAGTGCCGGCTACTTCGCGCAGCTCCACTCCGGTGGTGCCGGTGCCGGATCGGGGGTGGGTGGCGAATCGGTGGTGGTGTCAGGCTGCTTCGCGCAACTCCACTCTGGTGGTGCCGGTGCCGGTGCCGGTGCCGGATCGGGGGTGGGTGCAGCGAAGAGAGAAAGAGGGAGATGGAGATGATAGAGAGAGACAGTGAGGCGGCGGAAGAGAGAAAAAGAGGAAGATGAGAGTGGTAAATAATTTTTAGGGTTTGGGGGATGAAATTTGTATATATAATATATATATATATATAATATCTGATTTTGGAAATATTAAACTTCCAATCTGATTTTAGAAGTTTAAAAACTTAAAGTATAGTTTCATACTTTCATGTAATTACCACTATTTAAAATGACTACGTGACACGATGTCAATTTGAAATTGAGAAATTATTCAAAAAAAAATTTGTTATTCCAAAACAATCTAAACGCTGACTTTAACTTTCATTTAGAAATCCGAGCATGGTTAAATTTCTCATGTTCATGAAGCGCCTCTTTTCTTCAACTCATCCTCAATATCACGTGGGTACGGTATGATCATCTTTATCCTTTTCAATGAAAGTCCTAAACCTAGATAGAAGTTTTCAAGCTTATGTCACGTAATCGTCCTTCTTATGTCATTTCTACAAGGTATGGATCCTTGCAAATATGATACGATAAATCTGATTGGCATTGTCGTATCCATTTCCACAAAAGTAATTAGATAAATTAATAATTCTTAAAAATAAATAACTTACT